GCTGGGCCTTTCCGCAGGGATGCCCAGGCCCCCGGCGATCTTACTGAAAGCGGCTTTGTGGGGCTCGGAGGCAGACCCGGCTCAGAACTCAGCGTGGGAGCTTGTTTTCAGTTCTGGTTGGGTTTCTTCCTCAGAGAGGCGAGGTTCCCAGGCGCAAAGGAAATGGAAGACCTGGACCAACAGTCTAACTCCTAAAGCCAAAGCCTCTGCTTTCATGTTAATAATGTATAATTCTCCCGCCAAACATCACCTTGGTATTTTTTCTTTGCCGGGGTAGCAATGACCAGGAAACCATACTGGAAATTGCTCATAGTACCATGGGTTGGAGAGAGGCTTTCTCTTTCTCCTTTCCGAGGTTATTCTGAGGAAAAAGTAATAAATAGATCGGTAAGGTAATTATTTATTTTAAGTTTAATTATGTATACTAGTTACTACCTTTTAATGAATGATATTTAGATGAAAACATTGAGTTATTTTGCTATAGAGCAAGTATCTCCCGACAACTCAAATGCAGTTTTTAGTGATTTTGTTTAAAAAGACAACAAAAAGTAAAGATCTCCACGCCTGTAAAAAACTTTTTAAATAAAGGTCAATATTTTTTTGCATGAAAGATTTTATTCAAGTATGACTTTTCGGATATAATCATAGAATATATCTGCTTTTAAAATACTGTTTTGCATACAGAGAACAAACTGGTGGTTGCCACAAGGAAGGAGGTAGGGGAATGGATGAAGTAGGTGGAAAAGATAAAAGATGTACAAGCTTCCAATTATGAAATACATAAGTAATGGGGATGAAAAGCACAGCATAGGGAATACATTGTACTACCTTTGCATGGTAACTACACATATGGTGAGCATTTTGTAATGTATATAATTGTCAAATCACAACGTTGTATACCTGAAACCCCTATATCAACTCTACTTCAACAAAAAATAAAATATTATTTTGCAAATTGCAGTGCTGGGTTCACAATTTGGAATATACATTTAGAAATGTATATATATTTGTAAAAGTATGGAAATATGTATCTATATTTAGAAATATAATATGTACATGCATATCTCACACATATATGTAATAATTTAGTAAGTGCCAATTTAGATCATAAGCTCCATGAAAATATGAACTATGATCTGTTCACCATTGTATCTCCAGTGCCTGGCATGTATTAGACACTCAATAAAGATCTGTTGAATAAATGAATGATTACTTAAAGGGGTACAATATAATGATGATGGTATCTGTTTTTATCCTGTAAGAATGCCTGCCTTTAATATGTTTTATTTAAGAGACTCAGGATATAAATTTAGACTTTGTTATTTAAGAAATCACTAATGCTTATCTACAAAGAAATGCAACTCAAAATGTTCTATAGATTATCAAATCAGATGTGCAATAAGTTGCTAGTTCATAGATGAAGAATTTCAAATAATTGGGGACCAGTCCCAGGAAAGCAGAATAAGGGCAAAACTCACCAAATAGAATTGGTTAAAGTGGCCACTTGTCTCTGGAACACTTAAATTTTGCCTTGGGATGAAGTAGTTTTAATCATTTTGTGGTGTTAGTATCAGGGCATGTTCTAGGGTATTTGCACAATTGTAGGCTGTACCTTTCATCTATAAAGATAGCCATCAGAAATGGCAGAGCTAAGGGACAGTCTTTGGAACTCATGGTGCTCTGTATGAGGAAACCTGAGCTTCCTGAAGAACTCACCTGCAAACTTCATAGAATCAACTTACATTTCTTCATCGGATACCTGGTGATAGGGAACCTCTTTAACAATGTTAAAACAGAGTTAGCTAAAAGATAACCTTTTCTTCCAGGGGTAAGGTTGCCTTTGGCTGTGCAGGGGTCAGTGAGGGTGGAAGGAGCTATTTCATAACCTTGCAAACAAGACCAGCATTGTCAAAAGTTTGCTGTTTCTGACACCATTCCTTATTCCCCTCTGCCCTCAAAAGATTTTAAAGTGGTCAGGGCCATGATGTTGCCCAGTTTTGCTACCAAATTTCTTTTTTCTTGATCTTTTGTTTCAATGTCTGCTTTCTTTTCCCTATGTGCTCATTGAACCCTGATTGGGGGTAGCCGGGTCAAGCTATAATTAGTTTATATATGAAGTTGAATTCACTGTGGCTCCTTTGGCATTAGACTCAAATGGGCTTTGATGTCTGTCTGGAGCTTTGATCCCAGACCCTCAAATGGTGGTCATCACCCCAACTCAAAGGATTGCCCTTTATTTTTTCCCCTCCTATTTGGAGACAGCTTTTCCCAATTACATCATTTGTGTTTGTTTGGCCATAAAAGCTGGGAGGCATCTTTTTGTTGCTTTGCTCTATAGCAAATGTGTAATTGATGCTCCTTACTTTGCTTGGCTGCAATAGAATGTTCACTGCTGGATATAGCATTTGTAGAGTGATACTCGAGACTTTGGTGGAGCTATTGTTGGGAGCTGTTCTGCCCATGGGCAAAGGGTCAGACTGTGTAATCTGAGGGACCCTTGCTGGCTCTGCCGAGGAAATATCTTTAAGGATAAGCTACACAACTATGATGTGTTCAGTCAAGATCCTTTCTCATGTTGGCAATTTTATCTTACTCTCCAGAGCCTCCAGGTAGCAGATCCATCTTTAGTGCCACACTTTCTGAGTGTCCATTAGCAGCTTTTCTGAGAAGACAGAGACTTCCAGTTAGAAATCAAAAGAACTAGCTAGAGCTCAACAATATTAGAAAGGAGATAAAGTAGCATTAGTAGAGGAAGAAGTAGCAGTATCCACTTTAAAAAGAGAAAGAAAAATCAAAACAATAAGAAAAGTGAGATCCTGCTGGCAACAGAAGGAACCATCAGTGGGTGATTACCTTCCAGCTGTCTCCCAAATACCTGCAACAGAAATAGAGAATCACAGAGGAAAGAAAAACCAGAGGACTAGACTGGAGGGGAGAAGATTGGGCTTTTGGGTTGAGAAGAGAATAGGGGCAACCCAGTAAGTCACATTTAATCTGAGGACATTGGGAGTTTTCCTGGAAAAACAATGACAGCATTGAGCTCCTTGCTTCTAACTTCATTTGAATTTGACAGCCTGAGTTTGTTTTAATTGGCACCTGAATGAACATTATTTATTAATGTGTAATGGATACTTTGGAGAGCATAACCTTTCTTCCTATTTTATTTTTTCCCCATTTTTATTGGTAGAACCATTCGAAGTTTTAATATTCCTTTGAATAGTTTTTGTGTTTAGTCTTGCTAGGAACACTTTTTCATGTAGATGTACAAACTGTTACAGCAAATGGTTTGCTTTGACTAATGAGCCAGCTACGAGTGGCATTTGGTGGGGAGGCAGGTGGGAAGGTGGGGAGGTTTGGAGAAGTAGCGACTTGTCTGTCTGCTTTAACAAGATTTATTGGTAGTGTGTGAAAACATGTTTCAGCTTTTTTTCCTCAACTACATAAATATAGTTGTTGATGTGTGATATAACCCAGGCCACAGTAATAGACTCCACCCAGCCTGAAAGAATCTAATTTAGAGCTAGAAAGCAGGAAACTTGCCTAGAAATGAATAGGATGAGACAATGACAGTGGGAATGGGTGAGTGGCATTTGGTATGCAAGATCTGTCATTATTCTGTAGTGTTTTACTAAAATTAGGGAGGAAAATCGGTTCCTGTAGTATCAAGCACAGTGGCACACAGAAGGCATAAAGAACAGGTGACCTGAATAGAACTGATTTTGTATGCTGGTGAACACCTGGCAGTAATTCCAGTTTTAGATCTAATGTACAATCTTGTTAATTATGAATCATGATTGTAGTTACAGTTCCTTTTATCTATAAGGTATAGCAATGGGGAGGTCAGCGGAGAGTGGCAAGGGAACTCCAGTTTGTGAGAGAGAGAGGAGCATGCCACACTGCTACTTCAGGGGAAAAGTTCCTCTGGAGGAAAAAAAAAGCCACAACTCACATAACCCTTAGTATCTATGTGCCTGCCATGTTGTAAACGCAACCCGATCCCTGCCTATATTGCATATATTGCAAATTATTATTATTCTTACAAAAGGCAGGTACTGTCAGTAGCTCCATTTTACCGTTCAAGAAATGGAGGCACAGAGAAGTGAAACTTGCCTGTACGGCTAGTCTTGGCCGGAAAGGGGATTCAGATTCAGGCAGTCTGGTTTCAGAGTCGGAGCTCTTGTGCTTGCCCAAGATAAATAATAAAACACTCAGACAAAAACCAAAGTGCGCAGGCGCGCGCGCACACCTGAAACCCTGAGCTTGTGAAAGAACTGCTGCAATCGCTCGCCAAATACAGCATCCTCCTGCCTAATTTTAAATGCCGTCTGTAAAAAAATTAAAACGACAGCAACAAAACTAAGAGAAAACAGTTTTAGAACAACATTGCACTGTGCTTTGTACTGCTTGCCTTCACAAAGTGGAATCGACAAACCCAAACCCACAGAAATTGAACGCACTCGCGGAACCTCCTTCGGTGACGCTAAGGAATCCGTTTGAGTGGCTCCCAACGGTGGACGGGTGGGGAAAGGGTTAAGAGTGTGCTCTGCAACTCAGTCGAGTTTCAGAAGTTCTCTGGGGAGCCCAAGGGCTGCGCCCCTTCGCGAACGCTGCCGGCAAGGCCGGCGTCGTTAACAGGATGCTGGGGCTCCAGACGCTCGCCCCCGGCTTTGTGCGAGGGAAAAGAACCAATAAGGAACGAGGCAAAACTTGGGTGCAGCAAACCCGAAAAGGGGGCGAGGAGGCCGCGGGCGGAGCGGGGGAGGAGAGAGGCAGGAGTGGGGAGGGCCGAGCGCGGAGAAGGCCGGAGCTGAGCGCGAGAGGCGCCCCTGACAGAAGAGGGGGTGGCCGGTGGAGCGGGCCGCGCAGCGGAGGGTCGGCGCGGGGAGGCGGGCGCCGGGAGGGGGTTTGCCGGGCCGCCGCGCGTGACGTAGCGTCGGCGGGGCGTTATCAGCGGCGGGGCCGCGGCGAGGGACGCGCGGCGACAGCGGACGGCGCCGCCAGGACCCGGACGGCGGCAGCCTGCGGCTGCGCGCGGGTCCCAAGCGCTTCTGGCTGCCGCCCCCGCCGCCGGGCGGCATGAGCCGGCGGCCGCAGCCCTAGAGCCCGCTCTTCGCCGGGCGGCCAGGCTGCGGGGACGGGTGCTGGCTGCAGGCAGGGTTGGGGGCCATGAAGCCGAGTCCGGCCGCGCCGGAGAAGGAGCTGGAGCCGCAGGCGCCGGCCCGGGGCGAGCAGCGCGCGGCGGAGCCCGAGGGGCGCTGGAGGGAGAAGGGCGAGGCGGACACGGAGCGGCTGCGCACCCGGGAGCGGCAGGAGGCCACGCTGGCCGGGCTGGCGGAGCTGGAATACCTGCGCCAGCGCCAGGAGCTTTTGGTCCGCGGCGCCCTGCGCGGCGCCGGGGGCCCGGGGGTGGCTGCGCCCCGCGCCGGGGAGCTGCCGGCGGAGGCGGCGCAGCGCAGCCGCCTGGAGGAGAAGTTCTTGGAGGAGAACATCTTGCTGCTGCGGAAGCAGTTGGTAGGTCGTGCCCCGAGATGGGAGCATGACTGCCTCAGAGGGGCTCGCGGTCCGGCTGGAGCCTATGGCGGGCGCGAGGGTGCCTGTGGCTGGGGAAATTCTCGCTGTTCCTGGGATCCCGGCCCCGTGCCTCCCTGACCCCCATTCCTGCGCGTGCCGGCGGCGCGTGGGCTGCCGACGCCCACGCGTTTCTGGCGTGTGCCCGCTTTGTGTCAGGTGAGGGGCTGGCGACCCCGCACGGATTGCCGGGGAGGGGTGGGGCGTTCGCCCCTCTCTCCCTGCCTTGGAGGGTCCTTGGAGTGGCCTGGTTGTAACCTTCAATCTCTAGTTAGACGAAAGCATGCCCTCTCCCCCGGGGTTTGCATTCTCATTTAAAATGCCATTTCGTTCGGAGGGCTTCTAGACTCTCGACGGGAGGGGACAAAAGCCAGGGAAGGGGCTTGTGGCGTGTTAACTGTCCCTGCTGAATTTTACGGTCAACACGGAGGCGCGCGCAGGGTGCCCGGCCCCTCCCAGGGCTCTCCCCGCACGCCTGGGCTGCTGCTTCATTTCAAATAGAAGCCCTTTGTATAAGGCAGCTAAAGCAGATGGAAAGGCTAGAAATGTCGCTGGAGAAAGTGCTCCCTTCTCTCATATTTTATATGTATTGCTAGCTAGTGATTGATGGTGGAGGCGGGAGGAAAGAGAACCCGCTCCCGGGGAGCGCTAATCTTCCTGGATTTCTGTCAGCCTTTCAGTCATTCTACGCAGTCTTTCTTAATGGGGAAGGAAAAGAACTTTGGCACTTAATGTATAGATGAACAGGTTTTGACCCCGCCTCAGAATAATGGCGGCAGCTTTGTTTTGAAACAGAAAAAAAGAAAAATGTAGTTTGAAACAGAAAAAAAGAATTACCCTTACCTGACCAGACACATGCTCGATAATGTTCCTCCTACACGAACGAACACAGTGACGCTGGGTGGTCATTTGTCAAGTGTTTTCTTGTTATCTCTTTTCAGATAATTTTTCTTCTTTGAGCATCAAAGTGCTTTTACTTGCTTGGTTTATTTTTCTTGAAGAAACTCACTCTAGCGAACAAGCATATGGTTTATGTCTCCAAGCTTTTAAGTCAAAGGGTAGGCCGCAGGAGTAGATATGCATATACATCTGTTTTAAGAGGATGTATGTCAGGGTAGTTTGTGCAGTGCCTCGGTGTTGGCATTTTACTGTGTTTCTTTGGTAGCAGACCAGATTTGTATGTAGAACTGATTTGAGCCAATTCTTGCTGGTTATGCCTGGTCATCGACATTTTATGCCTTGTTTTGAGCAATGGCACCTTTTTCCTCATAGATCTCAAGACTGTGAGGGGCATTCCTATTGTCCCCTGGAGGAGAGGAGGCAGCATGTCCGGAGAATTCCAGTCAAGTCAGTGTTTGTGGTGCTATTTTCATTTGTAGACTTGGCATTGGTGATTTGAACCAGATGCCTTTGAGTTCTTTTGCTTTCCAAGCCATTAGGAAGCACTAGGTGGCAGTGTGAGTAAGCACTGCAGATCTGTCACCTTTGGAAACCCGAGTTGAATTCAAATTTAATGGAACTTCCCTTGAGGGTTTTGGATTCTGCCATCTCACATTATACTTGGCACTGGCTATTAGTATTAGTTTCTCACTTTAAAAGGCCCTAAGACTGATTAAGCCCTACAAAGCAACTTAATAGAAAACAAAACTCTGCAGGACACTGGCCAGAAAATCTCACCTAAGATTATAGTGTATTGTAGGAAATCAGTTACTCTCTGACTTCAAATTAAAGAGTCTACTGTGAAGTACTGTTCTGTAAAAAAACTGGCTGTACACAGAGGATTTTTGAAGATCTCAATGTGTTTTGTTTTCTTATCCTTACCTATAAAAAGTAGGTTTGTATATATTGAAACTCAAAGCAAGTGTTTTTATAAAGAAGTTTGTATCATTGCAAAATGTGAGGAAGTGGCATTATACACAGGACACATTCTTGAAGATTTCATTTTGGTCATCCAGTAAAGTTTTGGTTTTGGAAGATTTAGTGAACTCTTCAAAAGGTAACAAATATTTCCAGCAGACTTTCTGGTCCTTTCTCATCAAAATGTGTTCATTTTTCCTTCCTCTACTTCTTACTCAGAATTGTTTGAGGAGAAGAGATGCTGGTTTGTTGAATCAGTTGCAAGAACTCGACAAGCAGATAAGTGACCTGAGACTGGATGTAGAAAAGACATCTGAAGAGCACCTGGAGACAGACAGCCGGCCCAGCTCAGGTGAGTGTGTGAGCACAGGCACAGAGTTGGGCTCTCATGAGGTCCATCTCAGCCCCTGTGCTTAGCATTCCAAGACCTGCAAATGGCAATGGATCTTATTTCCAGAGCAGAGAGAACGACAAAAAAGCAGTCTGCCATTCGGTTGCCAAAGGAAATAAAACCAGACAACAAAATTTTTAATAATGAGATTGATTTGACTAGAGTCCCCAGAGTTTAAACATAAAAGCTTCTATTCAAATTTCTGGAAGAATAGTCCTCCTTTGAAACTTGAGAAAGTCAGAACTGGGCTAGAAAATTAGTCACACTTCAACTTCCTGAGACCACTTCAAAAGTTTTTTTTTCCCCCTTTTAAACCATTTGGCTCCTTAAATAGATTTTTTCCCCCCTTCAAGTTATTTTATCTGAAATGTTCATGGTAAAGATGAGGCCTTGACAGATAGAACTCTCTTTCCTTGCACATCTTTAAAGGTAGGGTCAAGGAGGAAGGTCCGTTTGAGGGTAAAGTAACTTTGAAATGTACCCGCAGTTATGGGCTCTTTATCTTTTCTTAAGGATTACTTGAAATAAAACCATAAAATTAGGGTACTAGATTTGTGAATCAAAATTATGCTCTCTCCCAAATGTCTCCCTTTCCTACCTTTCCTAGATGAGTATCCCTTTTTCTTTTAAGCACAAATGTGTATTATTGCTTGACATGATCTTAATTCCAAATGGTGTTTTTATTTATAGGGTTTTATGAGCTGAGTGATGGGGCTTCAGGATCCCTTTCCAATTCGTCTAACTCGGTCTTCAGTGAGTGTTTATCCAGTTGTCATTCCAGCACCTGCTTTTGCAGCCCCTTAGAGGCAACCTTGACTATCTCAGATGGTTGTCCCAAATCTGCAGGTAAGACTTTTTAGAGTTGATAGACATTTTTAAATGGAAGGGGTCAAAGGCTGTTAAAGGTTTTCTAGCTTCAACCCCTTCTAGTGATGAAAAACACAGAGAATTTCATCAACTTGATGCACTTAATGCCACAGTTGCATCTAGAACCAAGATGACAACTATACTAGTTCTCTTTGTACACCACTTGGCTTTATATTCTGATGGTAGCAAGACAGCTTATCTTTAGAAATCCTGTCCCAATATTAGAGGTCTCATGCTCCATTTCAGAGCCTTTGCTGTTTAAGTTTGCATTTTCTTTTGAAAACCACTTTGGATCTGTTTTTGTCTTTAATCATTTAAAGCTAAAGCTTATATTATGTAAGTTAAATATATCTGTCAGCCTGGCCAAGAGCTGCTTGGCACTTCGGAGAGCAGTGGCCCCTCCGTGTTTTCCAAAATGCCTTGCATGATGGCAGCTTCCTTTTCTCTTAGCAGTGGGTGGGATGAGATCCCCCTAGGCCATGTGCCATTCTTCCCCATTTGGGGACATCCTGGCAGCGATCTCCAGAGAGAATCATGTTGTTGCTGATATTGGAAGAATTTCTGCATTTCCTCTATGCGTCACACACTGTACTAGATACTTTGCATACATTCATTCCCTTAGAATTCTCCCACCTGTCCACAGAGTGCAGGTATTGTTAGCTGCATTTTACATATCAGAGAAATTACACCTAGTGAGGTTACATTAGGTTAAGTTGTTTAAGGCTGTATAACGTGGCAGAAGCAGGATTCAAGCTCAGGACTAGCTTCCAGGTCCATGTTTTTCCATTGCACCAAGAGAATTCAGAAATTGTCTTGTTCAACCTTTTTATCAGAAAGATGATGAATTTGGTTTTATACTCCATTTCTCAGAGACTCTTCATTTGCTATGTGGCAGAGTTGTTGCTGAAACTCCTTAGTCCTGCTTTACTGTGATTCCTCATAACAGCAGAGAAAATACGAATATTAGAGGAGCTGTAGGTGCTGGCACAAGTCACCGCACCCTGGGTTTGTCTGTGTTTACTTGGGAATAAGACTGAAGTTTTGAGATCCAGGCAATGCAAACATCAACACCAAACAACTGAGGCTGCCAGCTGGCTGGTGTCTTTGTACTGGTACAGTGTGTGTTGTCAGCAGCAGTCACTGGGGGAAGCACAAAGCTATTTTATCTAGAGTGTCTGGACCTCAGGTTCACTATTGCTCCCTTCACTCTGCAGATCTGGCTTCAGAGGGAAACTTTCAAACTCATTAAAGGCACTTTGGTATAGGTTTTCCTTAAAGACAGACTCCTGCTCTCCCAAATGCCACATCTTCACATAATTCAGACAGTTGGACTGGCCCTTGGGGGCTGGAATGTCTGCCCTGTTCCTCAACTCAAGGTAGGGAAAAGGGATAGATGGTGAAGTGTAGGTAAATGTGGCTTTAAAAAGGGCAAAAATAGGCCTTAGGGTAGTAGAGGAGGAGGGATGGACAAGACAGTAGCTAGAGAGGTTTCCCCTTTTTACAATGTGCTATTTATTGGGAACAGAGGTAGGGGATGGGGGCACACACTTTTATAATAATCTCTTTGTTGCAAATGAATTGTATCATTTCTGGGTTTAGACTCCTACTTATTGCAGTTCATGCAGCTTTCTATTAAACAATTAAAATAATTTGGCACATAGTAGATTTTCGATATTTGAGTGAATAAGTATAATAGAGGACAAATTAGTGATTAAAAATTTTGATTTTTCTCTAGCTCAAAGTCATTAAAGGGATTTGATATTTGTAATATTCACCAAGATAAGAGATCAAAATCATTTAATTAGCAAGAGAGCTTGATTTCATGGTATTTTGGTGTCTACATTTTGGAGATGTGGCAAATTTATTCATTAATACTACTACTTGATCTTTTAAAACCTTATCAAGATTCCTTCCTATTTAAGAAACATACTCTTAGTTTTTAGTGTCACTATTAAAAATATAATATGATTATTATTGAAATTCGATTAGTCTTTTTTGAAATTTGGTCAGTTTCCCTGACCTTTCAATTGAGTTATACTTGAACATATATGATTGAGAATTAGGTCTAAAAAACCACAAAGTGAGGGAAAGCCTGCAGAAAGTATAGTTTATCTTAAGCATTTTAAAGGGAAACCAGGAATAGAACATGGAGGGGAGAGTAGCCTAGAGAAAGAAAGCCTATAGAAAGTATAGTTTATCTTAAGCATTTTAAAGGGGAACAAGGAATAGAACACAGAGGGGAGAGTAGCCTAAATCAAAAAACATTTATTTTTCTAGTCATAAATTAAGTACATTTTCATTGAAAATTTAGAAAATAGAAAATCAGAAAGTAAATATCACTTGCTTTTCCATTACACTGAGGTGCTGTTAGCATTAAGGTATTTCCCCGTATTATTCAATAGTTTGAAAGCATTTTTAATGGCTCTTTTTCCTTCAGATAAATATCATACATTGTTAAAAAATGTTTTGTTACAAATTTTTTTCCCTCATCCAGTGGTATGAACTGTATGTAAAATAGTAGCTTGTGTAGTATTCATTGATTCTTTGGCATTCTCTCTCTACCCATAAGTCTGTCTTCATAGAAACTGGCCAGTCAAGCTGGTGCTGACCAGTTGATTTCTTCAGAGTGTACCTTTAAATGTTTTTCAGATCTCATAGGATGGCTGGAATATAAAGGCCACTGTGAAGACCAGGCCTCAGGGTCCACTTGCTATTCCCCCTCCACATCACAATTTAATTCCCTTGGTATCATTACAGATGTGCATCCCAAGTACCAGTGTGATCTGGTGTCTAAAAACGGGAATGATGTGTATCGCTATCCCAGTCCTCTTCATGCCGTGGCGGTGCAGAGCCCGATGTTTCTTCTTTGCCTGACGGGCAACCCCTTGAGGGAAGAGGAGAGGCTTAGTAACCATGCCAATGACATTTGTGTTGGATCTGAGCTGGACACCATCAAGACAGACACTTCCTTGCCATCCCCAAGCAGTTTGTGGTCGGCTCCTCATCCTTCATCCGCTAAGAAGATGGATGGCTACATTCTGAGCCTGGTGCAGAAAAAAACACACCCCGTAAGGACCAACAAACCAAGAACCAGTGTGAATGCTGACCCCACAAAGGGGCTCCTGAGGAATGGGAGTGTTTGTGTCAGAGTGACTGGGGGCATCTCACAGGGCAGTGGTGGGAACCTTAAGAATCCTAAACAGGTACCTTTGCCCTCTGGTGGAAGCTCCTCTTTGGATAGTGGAACACTGTCCCCACTGAAGCAGTGGTCAAAAGAAGCAAAGGCAGAACAACTGGAAAGCAAGAGGTTGCCCCTGCCAGAGGGCTGCTCTCCAGCCATGGCGGCCACTGAACTTCAGAGTAAGCGTCTACCCAAAAACGCCAAGCCAGCCTCTCAGGAACATCTTCGGTGTCCCACCACTCTGGCAGCAGAGACCCCTAAGGAAAGCTCTCCGATCCCAGCTTCCTCTGCGAAAGAGAGCCCCGGGCGAGTCCCCGCCCCACTGCATGAGAACAAAGTTGTCCAGCCACTAAAAAAGGTAACACAGAAAAACAGCCTGCAGGCTGTCCCTCCGGCGGCACCCCCTCCCGTGACTCCTGCACTGCTCTCTTCAGCTTTCGCGGTCGAAGAACGGCCTGCCCTGGATTTCAGAAGTGAGGGCTCTTCTCAGAGTCTCGAGGAAGGGCCTCTAGTGAAGGCGCAGTTCATCCCCGGGCAGCAGGCGGGCGCCAGGCCGCCCCGGGGCACCCGGGTCGCCGCCGGCCCGCGGAGCACAACCCTGAAGCAGCGGGCCCAGGCCCCCAACGGGCTGGAGGGCGCACTGCCCACCGTGAGGGAGAAAACCCGGGCGGCCAGCAAGAAGTGTCGCTTCCCCGACGACGTGGATACAAATAAGAAGCTCAGGAAAGCCTCGGCCAAGGGCAGGAAGGGCGGGGGCGGCCAGCCCGAGGCGGGGCTCGCCAGCAGGCCACTGGGAGGCGGCCACAGGGCCGGGAACAGGGCGCACGGCCACGGCCGGGAGGCGGTGGTGGCCAAGCCCAGGCACAAGCGAACAGACTCCCGGCGGTGGAGGTCGGCCGCTGAGATTTCCTACGAAGAAGCTCTGCGGAGATCCCGGAGGGGTCGCCGGGAGAGCGCCGGCCTGTACCCGGCCGCCGTCCCGCCGCCCTATGCCAGCCCCTACGCCTACGTGGCCAGCGACTCCGAGTACTCGGCCGAGTGCGAGTCCCTCTTCCACTCCACGGTGGTGGACACCAGCGAGGACGAGCGGAGCAACTACACCACCAACTGCTTTGGGGACAGCGAGTCCAGCGTGAGCGAAGGCGAGTTCGTGGGGGAGAGCACGAGCTCCAGCGACTCCGAGGAAAGCGGGGGCCTGATCTGGTCCCAGTTTGTCCAGACTCTCCCTATACAGACGGTCACAGCCCCAGAACTTCACAAGCCCACAAAAACCTTCGTCAAAATTAAGGCTTCACACAACCTCAAGAAGAAAATCCTGCGCTTTCGGTCTGGCTCTTTGAAACTGATGACGACCGTTTGAGTAACACCATTTGGTGTAGAAAGTGGTTTTTCTCTAAAGGAGACAACGTCGTGGCTTAGATTTTGTGTGGTGGTTTCATGGAATGCTTTCCTTTGTTAAGGTAAAACCGGGGTAAAATTGTCTCATCCTTATCACGTAGGGACACTAGTGCCTTTCATGGAAGGTGAAGAATGTTTTGCAGGTTAGAAGTGATACCGAGTTTTTAAATGGTGGTGTTAGTGATGAATTTTGTGGTATCAGGTGATTTTTATTTAAAATTTTATGAGCATCTGTAAAGGCACATGTTTTGATGGTCAAGTCTTATTGGTATGAGACCTTTTGATCTGAATCTGAAGGTCAGGTGGATGGAATTTTAGGACACGCATTTGCTTCTGGTTCTTCAGGGCCATGTTTCCCAAGAAGATTTTCTTCTGAGTGGCATCACGTACTACTGTGTGACATAGGTACGAGGGACATAGTTTTCTGTAATTTTTTATATGGTCTACATTTCTCAGATGTATCCTTATTCTATTTTCTTGTCAGAACTGTTTGGTTTACTGGAGTCAAAACTTGAAGACCAGACCCTGATTCCAGAGAGCTGGTAACCTGGATAGGGAGGCTGGTAACAATTTAAAAGGATTCAGTAAAACTTCTGCCACCCTTGGTGCCTACGCCCTAGTTACAGTAACCTCTTCTAGTGCTGTTTATTCACATTTTGATGCCTTTCTTCTCCCTTATTTGCAGCAGATGGAGTCATTCCTAGAACTTCCCTTTGAGATAAATTTTCATCCTTGGATACAGAGAAATTCACTCCTGAAGAAATAACCCTCGGGTATAATAACTCTAAACCCAGAGTTGCTCGCTGAGCACTGTGCCACCTAAGCATTGGCCCAAACGTATTAGTGCAATCCAGTCCAGATTGGACCACTGACCATGTATGGAAGGGCTTTTAAAAGGAAATTTTTTTTGGTAAACAGTATTGTGTAAAATTACTTTTTTAATACCAATATATGCATGTTTTGTGCATGAGTAGTATTTGTTTTGATATTCCTGTTGATGTTAAATTACTGTATGATATAAACAGTATGTGTTTTTATATATCATTGTATAAATTTAATATAACACATTATGTACTATAATAAATGGTTTGTTTTACTGCTGGTAAGTTTGTTATTTGGGTATAAAAACAGATGTACACACCTATAAATCTTGTGCTGATGATGGTAAACACACTAGCCTATTCCAGCATTAGAGTATTATTTGCAATAATAAAGACAGGTTTTAGGAGAATTCTTTGGATTAATGGGGAGTAAGCAAATAAAGAAAAGCAAACCACTTATTTAGAATAGTTAAGGTACTGCTTTAAAATTTAAGGTAAATTTAATAGCTGTCTTCTAAGGAAAATATTTCTGAGAATTCACCCACTTCCAACTCTCCAGTATAAAAAAATTTCCAAGGTGGAAAACTTGAGAGGATAGCACAATAAACACATTTAGCCACCACCTAGAGTCAATAATTGCTAAACTTTTGTCATGCTTGCTTAAACTCTCTTTATGTATATATTAAGTTAAACCATGTTGCTGGTTTTACAGGTTAAGGACAGATAACTGGCTATGTCCCCCAACCCTCCATACTGCTATATACTATTTTAAAGTAAATTTCAGAAATCATGATACTTCATCTCTAAAAACCTAAGCATATATTTCCTAAGAATAAAGAGATTCTGCCATAGGAGCACAATATCATGATCCCACCTAAAGAAAACTGACAATAATTCTTAATATTACTAAATATTTAATCTCTTTAAATTTTCCAATTTGCTTCAAGAATTTTTTAACAGCAGCTTCCCCCATCCCCATAAACTGGAATTCAATCAATGTCATGCATTGTATTTAGTTGTATATGTCTAGTCTTTTTAGTCTAGAATAATCCAGCCACATTTTTAAAAAATGACATTCAGTTTTTAAAGTCAGAACAGTTGTCTTACAGAGGTGCCCACATTCTGGATTTGAATGTTTTCTTATGTTATCTTTTAGCATTTAGTCCTATTTCATGTAAACTGCATAAAGATTGGATTTGGATTAGACATTGTTGGCGAGATTTTACTAGTGACTTGTGTACTTTTATTGCTTCACATCAAGAAACAGTATCAGGTGCCCTATATTAATGAATTTAGCCTTGGTTAAGTTGGTGAGCAGAGATTTCTCCATAAAGATGTTTTTGCCTCCTTTTTGCAAATGGCTAGTATTTGTGAGTGATTCTTTGGTACTGGGTGGATATCCTATTCTTCACAACCTGTAATTAATGGCTTTAGCTTACATGCTGATCTTTACCTAAATCATTTATTGCCTTGGGGATTCAAAATTGTAGTTTTCTAGATATCCTTCTACTTTTATTAGCTGACATTCTATTAAAAAAATTTCCTTATGTTTTTTCCCTTTTGTATATCACCATAGGCTCATGAATTTTTATTCATTTGATGTCTTAAAATCAGTTATTCTTTTTGATGTTCAACACATCCCAAATTTGGTTGGTGGGGGGGTTCATTTTGTACAAAGGAAACTATAAAATCAGCTCAGTCTCTTTAGATTTTATTTATTATGAAATGTACTCAACTAAAATGAATTTTTCAAATGCTAAATTTCAATGCAAAACTCTACATTTGTTGATCATCTTGGGAATTTCCTCTTTTCCTATACTTTATATACCCCTCACCTCTAAGACTTTTAACTTTGGTACATAGCAATTATTTCTCCATGGTTTACAAAGGTAAGACGTTTTTTCAACAAGACATCTCAGACAACTCAATTCTTCAAAATGTAGAGTTGCTAGACTTTTTAGTGTTTATATAAGTAGTATTAGTATTTAGTATTTATATGTTTTTAGGTGCAACCAGTTATTCTGCTTTAACTAGAATTTCTTTGATTACCTGATTAAACTTAAGCCAGTGCAATTGAGGGTATGATCTCACCATCTTTTCTAATGCTGTGATCTGATCTCTCGGGGGCAGGGTTTAAAGTTCATTGTGCAAGGCAACTGTGACCTGCAGTCAGATCTTGCATCATTTCCAAGTTGTTCTCAATGAGCATTATCCTTGGAAGGGGACGCTTTCTGAAAACCAGTTTCTGAATAATTACATTTTAGGTGACAGAATGCCAAATGAAGAGAAGCATGAAAAACAGGATTTTCTAAGAACCCTGGGTTTATCCTCCTCTGTCTATTGCTTGACTTCCCTGTAGCTAGCTAGCAGTTGTGCTGTACTTGGAAAATTGGATTTTGTCCATTATTTTCAATAACAAAATAGCTGTTATTGTGAAAAACAAAAGAGCTCCTTGAAATATTTTAACTAAATCAATTACAAAGGCTCATTGTCAAAAAAGAAAATATATATCTGAACAATACATAGGTGTTTAAACCTTTCTTAGTCCTCCTCAAATCCTACTCTTCAATAAGTTTGGTGTACATATTTCCATGCTGTGTTATATGCACATACAAGTATATAACCTTTATATTTTTCTTCAAAATGAAGCCTCAGTCTACATGCATTATTCTGTAACTTGCTTCCTTCATTTCATGGACCTGCATCATGGATATAATATCCAACTCATTTTAATGGCATTCCAAGAATTTCTTCACTGAAGAAAAAGGCACCATATTTTATGGGCTACTTGTTTGCCTGGCTTGGAAAAAGTACATTATTTAGCAACAAAAGGGTTACCCAAGTACCACACATTTGCACACATACTGCTTCTCTAGGTTTCTTATATACTTTGTTATTTTGTAGTGTGTGCTCACTTCCAGTGGGCTTATTATCAGGGGGAATCCTGTAGGGCTTGTTAAAGGATTTTGCCATACTGAGAAGCTTTGTGTTTTATTCTGCCAGGTGCCTCAGAGCCATTTCCAGACTGGACCACCTTTTAAGTTAATCTCTCTACTTTGGGGTTACTTGATTATAGAGGTAGTACAAATTCAAATCCTAAACCTAAAAGAGGATAGGCTGTGACTACATGCTCTCAGAGGATACCTTTCCCAAGAGAGAAAAATTTCTTTATTTTCATCCTGGGTCAACAAGTGGGTTTTTTCCTGGACCAACCTTTCACCAAGGGCGAGCCCTTCAGAGCTCTTAGGTATATTGGGAAGTTTCAGTTCTACCCTGTGAGGGCCACATCCTTGGCCTTGAGTGCCTGTCTAAACCAAAGCTCTTGCTTAAGGGACCAGCAACCTCTCCTAGGACCAAACTTGGGTGCCTTTCTAGTGAAGTCAGTATATACTTAAGAGGATATTAATGATATATCCATCATGTCTGTAAAAAATTTTACAGTGAGATGATAGGTTATCTGGTCCACCATATGGGTGGAAATAGAAACCATGAGCTACCTGTTGCCTTTGCCAATAAGTTAGATTTTTGTTTCCCCCTCTTATTTTTAGTACAATTTTATTGAGGAACAGTTGAAGTACAATAAAATGCACACATCTGAACTGTGCAATTTGATCCATTTTGACACCTATATACACCTGTGTAATCACCACAATCAATATAACCCATATTTCTATTGTTCTCAGAAGTTTCCTTGAGACACTTTGTAATGCATCTGTCTTTCCGTCTCTTTCCCCAGACACATGGATCTGCTTTTTGTCACTTTATTTTCTGGAATTCTGTATAAATGGACAGTATGTACACTTTTTTGCCTGAAATTTTCATGCCATATAATGATGTTTAGATTTGTCCATGTTGTCTCATGTCTCAATGGTTCATTCCTTTTTATGGCTGAGTTGTATTCCTATGTGTAGTTATATAACAATTTGTTTATCCTATTTACTGGTGGATGGACATTTGGATAATTTCCAGTTTGGGGCTATTACAAATAAAGTTGTGAAGAACAGTCATGCACAAGTCTTTGTATGGACAGATGGCTTTGTTTCTCTTGGGTAAATATTTAGGAGTAGAATGTCTTGGTCTTATGTTAGGTGTATATTTAACTTCTTAAAAAATTGCAAAAATACATTTCAAACTGGTTGTACCATTTGATTCCTACCAGTAACCTATGAGAGTTTCAGTTGCTTCATATCCTCATTAACATTTTAATTTTAAGTACTCTAATGGGCGTGTAATGGTATCTTGGTATATTTTAATTTGAATTTCTCTGATGATTATGATACTGAGCTTCTTTTCATGTATTTACTGGCCATCTGTATATCTTTTTTGTGGAAGTATCTGCTCAAATAGTTTGCCCATTTAAAAAATCGGGTTGGGCTCCTTATTACTGAGTTGTAAGAATTTTTGAAAAATAAATTCCATGTGAAAGTCCTTTGATAAAAGTTGTGAATATTTTCTCCCAGTCTGTGGCTTACCTTTTGACTTTCTTAATGGTGCCTTATGAAGAACAAATGTTTTTAATTTTGATCAAGTCCAGTTTTCTATTCTTTTCTTTTATGGTTTGTGATTTTCATGTCCTATCTAGGAACCTTTGCCTTATTCAAGATTGCAAAGATTTTCTCCTATGCTTTCTTCTGGAAGTTTTATTTCTAGAAGGTTTTAGGTTTACATATAGGTCAACAACCTTATTTTGAGTTAATTTTTGGGCATGATGTGAAGTAAGGATATTCAGTTTATTCAAATAGATATTCATTTGGCCTAACAGTTGAAATTACTTTCCCTTCTAAATTGGCACCTTTTAAAAAAACCAGTTAATATAATGTATGTACCTATTTCTGGATTCTATACTGTTTCATTTATCAATTATGCCTATTTTTTCATCAAAACCAAACTTGATTTTAAGTACTCTAATGGGCATGTAATGGTATCTCGGTGTACCTTTATAGTAAGTACTGAAATCAGATAGGGCAGGTCTTCCAACTTTGCTTTCCTCTTTCTCCTTCTTAATTCCTTTGATTGGTCTTGATCCTTTGCATTATCATATGAACTTTAAGAATCAGGTTGTCATTTCTACAAAACAACCTGCTGACATTTTTTGTTATCACATGCCATCTTCAAAATAATGAGGCTTTCAATTAATGAGTATGCTATATCTTTCCATTTATTTAGGTCTTCTTTAATTTTCTTCAGCAATGTTTTGTGGTTTTTAGTGTATACAGGTCTTGGTAATCTTTTGTTAGATTTACTTTCCTATGTATTTCATAACTTTTGCTGATAC